ATTCGATTTATGGAATTGGATTTGCGGCTTGTCAGCATCGGCGTGTGGTTCACAGAGGTCAGTCTGAACGAAAAAAAAAATAAAAATGTTTGGAAAAACGGAGCCGAGCGAGAAATTTCACTGTCATATGTAGTGGTCTAAGTGAGCAGCAACGCATCAAGGCCAACTGCAGACTAGTTTGAGTGCAAGTTTGAAAATGAAGTATTTGTTGACAGGGAAGAAGAAGTCAATTTGAGCGCTGAAAAAGAGCGTGCTAGTCGTCAGGTAGAGCAGCGAGACAAGCAGCATTTGAAAGTTAGTCCTCTGCGAAAATATTCACATTTTGAAGTTCTTATTAAAGTATAGGGCATTTCAACTTCTTCGAGTACAGTGGTATTGTAATTCAAAGACTGGGAACTAGATGCGTGTGTGAATGCGTGTGCTCATATCTATCTATGTATGTATGTATTTGTATATGTGTGTGTATGTGTATATACATATATATGTACACATGTATATGTGTCTTTGTAGATATGTATTGCCTTTTACTTGTTTTCACTGATTATCGGCGCATTTCAATATAACAGAATTAGACCGACATTCTAGAATGTGGTTTGAAACGGAGTGAGGATAATTTTTCAGCGGCAGGAGGAAGAACAACTGAAAAAGCAGCGTCCTTTGAAAAAGCGCGAAGCTGAATGCGAAGAAGAGAAAATATTGAGGGCGCAGCGGAAATTGGAGTCGGAGCGGCTGCTTTCCGTATTGTTTCGGGAGATTGAGGTTGTAGTTTCTCGTAGCTCACACTTTTTGGCTCTTCTTTGCTCTTTTGAAATTAATTCACTGAAACAGAGGTGGTTTCAGGCGAAACAGCAAGAAACGAGTTCGATGCCTGTTAAAAATTTGGAGGAAAATTCAAACGGTCGCAGTTTCCATTCGGGATTGGAGGCAAAGCTACGAATGACTCTGCTCCGGGAGCACGAAAAACGATTGCGAAAACGGGTAGAGTGCTTGTGAGCGCATTCTGCGCATGTCCTTGTGAAACAGAAAATCATTTTTTACTT